GATATTCTCTTATCTGGGCTGCAGTCGTACCTCCTACACAACTGTTTCATGAGATTATTAGTCTGAGCACCTCCACTGTTACCTGATTATGTTAGTACATAAAGATATTTATCGATGCTTTGTGAGTCTTCCTTCAGGTAAACACACTGCTGGTGATTATGTGGTGGTCAAAGCATATTAAACAACTCTGATTTAAATCTTGTTTTCTTGAACTGACAAGTCTAATGAGAGTCCTTTATCTCTTCCTTGCATGACTCTTTCCTGCGTGTGAACTCCGGATTCAGCTGGTGTGACGATGTATCAGCAGCTAATGTGACATGATCCGCTCCTCTTCTCTAAACTGCTTTTGACTCATTCATAGCAGCAACAGCGGACATGTCATCACACACCACGAGTGCTAGAGTGTGAGTGTTTTGTTGTCCCCTCTAGGTAGACTATAAACTCACTGGAGTTCATGCAGCTTGTTTCAAACTCCAGCCAAACAGTAAGCTTTACTGGAGAACCAATCATCCCAGTTACAATCTCAGAAAGTTATTACACCTCCACTGCTGATCATACGGTTAAATATCCTCACACCACATCACACGATGAAGTCCGTGCACATCCTCAGCCTGAAGCTCTACCCGGGGCGAGTCTTGTATCGATGCATACCCATTATTGGCTCAGTTATCTCTGCACCACAGGGCTCAGCACTCTCCCTCTTCATATTAATCATTTTGACATGTTTTTTGATCCAGTCATGCAAGAACACACCTTATCCCCAGTGAATCAGGAGTAAGGACCACCCCTGAATGCTTCTTTACATCTTTTTTTTCACACGCTTTCAAAAACATCCTCCTTATTTATTCACCAACAGTGTCAGTTTAGCTGCACCCGTCATCAGTGCTGCACCACCGCAGGGACCAAAACCACAGGCAGTAGAAGAGGAAGACCATAAAAATGTAAATTTATATGAGTCATAATATTGATTGTTTCTGAACCTGAATACAGTAGTAAACACTCAAATGGATTTTGAATGTCAGCCACTTGGTTGCATGATATCAAAGCTTTACGACAAAGCTTTTGTTGGGTTTTTCATACAGTCACATTCAGCAGAGGTTGGCATTTCAAAGCCAGATCCACACTGTGACGCTGCAGCTGTGTGACAGAAAAAAAGCCAAAAAGTAATCCATTCAGTCACACAGCTGGATAACATAAAAAGAGGCAGTATCATTAGCTTTATCAGAAATATCGGGAGTTTTTTAAAGCACTTACAAGCGCTTGAAAGAGGAGTATTACAACCCTCTTGAATTCCCATGTTTCCAAGCTCTACTGTAATCTCTCCCGTAAGGGCTGGTCCTTGGTGGAGGTCACAGTGTCACAGCTAATCTGCAACGCAAGGCCTTATGGCTCCGGATTCAATTACCCAAGCTCCTTCATCCTTACCTATGCTGTGATTAATGAAATCACTGCTATGCGAGGGTCAGTGAAGGTTACCCAGTAGAGACACAGTTTAAACAGGCACACAAATCCAACACACAGGGGACCCACTATGTGTGTGCATTTTAATATTCCAAGTGATTCAAGCCAATTGAACGGGAGGGCACACTCAAGGTGCTGTATTCATTCTCAAAGACCTGATCTGAACTTGCACAAATTCATTACTTTTACTCCTCTTCAGGTACGTCTCATTGAAGATTTTTACGATCAGATAAAATGAAACCAGAGTCGAAGGTTTTTTTGGTCAATTTCTAGAGCAGAAAACAAGAAACGTTCACGGATCGCTTCTATAAAACCCTCTCTCCTGCTGTCTTTCACTATTTCATCACACGTTTCTTAAGTGAAGACACCTCAAGGCAATACCTCGTTTCACTGCCTGCATCCCTCTCAGCTGCATCACACATCCTTGGTGTTTTACGTAACCCTCTTCCTTCTTTGCTCGCCCCTCAATCCCATTTCCCTTCCTTCTTTTTCTCACTCTCCTTTTCCTCTTTTTACTTGTCATCTCTCCGAGGCAGGTGTGTGATTAAAAAAAAAGCATTGTGGCTGCTGCTGGGGACATGTCAAAAGAGCAGTGCAATGGTTGAGTGAGCTGTGCAGAATGGTGCCAATCATTTTATTGATTTCCCCCATCTTCAGGTTTGACAGTGTCTGCTAACTTCTGGAGATAGCATGAAAAAGGAGATATATTCCTGTGTGTCAGACCTTAAAGAGCCATATAAGAATGTGTAAAGATGAGATATTAAGATTGTGAATGTTTATACAGTGTGGTAATGATGATTATGGCTGGAAATGGTTGGAGTAGTCCAGGTTGATTTGCCTCTACCTCTGTAGTTCTGGGTTCAATCAAAAAAAGACCATGACCAGCTGATCAAGTCACAAGAGAGCCATGTATGTACAAAGAAAGGCACGATGTTGAATATCCACTGTAGTGTGAAATTACGCAGGCTTACATTAACAGCCTGTCAGCAACCACACTTTCCTGTCTTAACACATCTATTACTCTCCCCCGCCCCATTGAGATGTCCCTTGGATATTCTTGTCCATGTTTCCCTGAAAAGAGTGCAAAACCAAAAGTTGTAAAACCTTCTACAACATCAAATATACAAAAGAAACCAGAGGAAAAAAGTAAGCAGAGGGAATGCACATCTCCTCTCACTGTAAACCCCGATGATGATTGCTGAAAGATGCCTACTGTGCTTCCATTACTTGCAAAGCAAATGTTTAACGTGCGAAATAACCACTAATGTTATGGCATTCCTAATCAAGAAGTTACGACGGAGTATGAGGACCACATTAGGAAAAAAAAATTAAGACTTCGAGATTTAGGTCATTAATAAAGTCATTACTAAAAAGAATAAAGTCATAATAAAGTAATCACTTATGAGACTAAAGTCAGAATAAAGTCCTTATATTCTAACCTGTTGTTTAAGATGACAGTTGTTGAAATGAGAGCCATGGAGCATTTCATGAAAATGTAATTCAATATAGGTTTCTCTAATAAAGGAGATACTCAACCTTTCGGCACATCAGCACCTTATTATCATAAGTATCATAATGATTTTATTACGACTTTATTCTCATTAGTAATTACTTTATTACGACTTTATTCTCGTTGGTAATGACTTAATTAGGACTTCATTTTTGTAAGTAATGATTTTATTAAAACTTTATTCTCATAAGTAATTACTTTATTGCAACTTTATTCTTGTAAGTAATGGTTTTATTACAACTTTATTCTCGATAGTAATGACTTTATTCTTGTAAGTAATGGTTTTATTACAACTTTATTCTCGTTACCAATGACTTTATTTTCGTAAATTAACGATTTTAATCTCAAAGTCTTATTTTTTTTTCTTAATGTGGTCCTAATATTCTGTCGTAAGAAGTAGCCAAATATCAGAGAGAAAAACTTATACATTTGAGATAACTGACACCAATGTTTATCGGCACTGTTGAGAGTTTTAAGTGATGTTGATATAACCTCACTCTTATATGCCTCCTTGTGACCTGTAAGTACGATAACATTGTTTCTTTCTTTCACACTGAATTTTAATTCCCATGTTCTTGTTTTTTCCACAAAAAAAGTCCAGTTGATATCCAGCGCTTACCCTGGAGCAGCTATGTTCACAACTCTACTGGTAAAGTTCAGCAGTGAGAGGTAAGATGTCAAGCTGGAGGAGTTTTTCTTTCTCTCGATTATTTTCATACTGAATCGTGTGCATGGTGGACACCAGAATGAGATTATCTGTTGAAAATGAGGAAATTCTATAACCAGAGCAAAAGAAATGCGTGTGCTGGCAAGAGTCATATCATTATGGTGGTGGGTTATGGTGCTCATGGGAAATGCAGTCTCCAAACTGAAGAAAAAAAACCCACTACTGATTCAATAAGCATGCTAAAATAGTGTGGGCCCAATTTCGTTTCTAAAGCATTTCAGGCAGTCCCATAGTGATAACCATTACATGAAAAAACTGCACACAGGCGCTGTAGGATTAGCCACTGGATTGCCCAGACATCACAAAAATACCACAGGGGGAGATTACGCGTATCTCTCCACCACACTTCTTTCATCTGGTGTTTGTGTGCAGCGTGTGTGACTGCGGTAAGAGAGAAAAAAAAAGAGCTGATGTTTACGTGTGGTCTTCAAACCACATGTTAGCTAAACAGCCCTTTGCCTCCCTTTATCCTCCTTGCCTTGACAGGACTCAAAGCCACACTGGGATCCCACAGGAATCCCACCGTGAGGAAAATTGATGTGCTCCTCGATCGAGCGTAGACAAGTAATCAAATCAAGAAATGGTGCTTGTCTGCCCACCCTACTGCAGTGAATGAGAAAACACACACTAAGCCAGGTAAAGCACATCACACAGACACATGCACATGGAGCAACAGTGTACCGGGTCGCACACTGGCTTAGAGATCCAGGACATCAGTTTTAGAAAAGTAGCACCACAAGAAAAGCACCAAAAAAAAAAATATGAAGTGTGTTTGTCGAACATGAAAGTGCCTAAAGTTTTATAAATACAGATATCATGGAATTTTTGATCAGGACTGTGGATACATTAATAATAATATTAATAATGGATCAGATTTTTATAGTGCTTTATCAGAGAGCCTCAAAGTGCTTTACATTGGATACATCATTCGCTCACACAGTCACACCTTGGTGGTGGTAAACTTCTATAGTAGTCACACCTACCCTAGGGCAGACTGATGGAACCATGGCTGCCAGTTTGCACCTCACAATCATACACTAGTGGAGGACACACACTGGGAGCAAGGTGGGTTAAGTGTCTTGCCCAAGGACACAACGGACAGACTTGGGATAGAGGGGAATCGAACCGCTAACCTTCTGGTTATTGGATGACCGCCTTACCTCCTGAGCTACTGCTGCCCCCCAAAAATGTATGTTGTTTTTCAAAATTTATATTGTTTTAAACGTGTTAAAATAGCCGAGGCTGGTTATAAATGTGACCTCAGACACTAATGAGAAACTCTACGTTTATGCCGGATGTTTGGACAGAAGCTTGTATGACGACTGGGCGTCCCTTTGCCTTCCCAGCCCCTTATGTATGATTCCAGGCATAGGATGACAAAGGGAAGTCCATAGGTCACATGTCTGGATGATTTATAGGAAAAAAGTACATTAGAGTATCCTTTACTCCCAAAGAAGCATTTCTTTTATCCTAGGTGTCAGGTCGATTTGAGAAATATGGTAATTTCAAGTTTCATTCCCAGGGATGTTCAACACACCTACAGCTAAAGTCAGCTAACGTCTATGACAGGTCCGACCCTGAATAAAGATGATGTTCACTTAGGAAACATCTGAGTTTTCATATTGCTCTTGACATGGGAAGCATGTATCTATTTGATACCATCTTTTCCAGGTATCCACGGTTTTCAAACAGGTACTGATGTTGCACCGTGTCACCCCAAACCCTGAGGAAATTATGATAAAATCTCTTCATGCTGGCATCAAAGGAAGGTAATAACAAATAAATCACAGCTCTAAACAACATTTCTTTGAGTCTTATTTGCTCCCAGCCCTGACAAATCCAGAACAATGCCGTGGGAGGCAATTGAGAAATATATTTAAGGGTATAAGAGAGGTTTGTGTGTGTTTGCGTCTTTTGTCTGAGTGTGAAAATAAGACTAAGAAAAAGAGAGAGAAAATGGCCGAGAAATGCATTTTGTATTCATGCAAATCCATTTGGTTTCTAGTGTGGGAATAATGTGAAAATTGAAAATGGAGAAATGAAATGTGACAAGGTCTTAGCAGCTGATGAAGTAACCAAAAATTACATGCACATGCAGATACACACTGATATATATGAAGGACGTACACGTCTCAGACACAAATGAATTAAAATCAGATCTTGATGGCATTTTCCGAGCGTAATGCGCTTTTCATGCAACAGATTTCAAAATGATGAGATGGAGGGCGGATAAGGAAAAAATGAAATACCATGTTAGCAGTGAGTCTTTCCAATTGATGTTAACCAGGAGCCCTACGATGCATCTATGTACCATTTTCTGAGCATGTAGCTTTAATGTCTTTATGGTATCGCATGCAAACATATGTATTTGGCGTGTCTTTAGAGTATAATATGTCTGTGCTTGTTTGCATGTTTCGGCAGGGTGATCAGGCAGGTTCATTTGAGGAGTTCATCTGAGCTGTCAGGAAGCTCTGGGAGAAAAAAACGTAAACCCTTCCTGAAGGCAGGGACACTTTCAAAGGCTGGTGGAGTGCTATCAAAGCATGCTAAAAATACACTTTGTGACGGCATGTGTTCAGTATAAAGCACATAATGATAATTTTAGTCTGGCCGTGGCTATTAAACAGAGTGTGAACTCAATTAACCTGCAGTAGTGTCGTTGATAAAACAAGGATTACAGGTTCATTATGTTGGTATCACTCGCTCTCTGTGTCGGATAGAAACACCTCCTCCAGTAAAAGGTAAGTAGGTCAGACTGGTAATAGCTAGAGCAACGACAGAAAGAGGAAAGAGGAGCTTCCACTCACGTGTGTTGATCTTCTGTAAAGAGATGTGTTTCTCCAGCTGCCGCCGCAATTTGACCTCAGCCCCATACTTTCCAGTGGTGCCATTGTCTGCCAGGATGAAGTGGGAGTGGAGGCTGTTCAGGACTGTCAGCTTGCTCATAGGGTTGGACATGGTCTGGTATGGACGCACCACCTACACAGGAGAAGATGTCATTTAGCCCAAAACGTTTAATGTAACCCAGGTTTCATTTCAGCGTGTATTTCTTAAGTATTTCTAAAAGAAACATGCCACTGATTTTAAGCCTTTAGTTTGTTTTTTCTCTTATGGGGAGCATTACCAGGTCAGCGAAGCAGCTGTAAAATATCCTTCTGGCTTTCAATGGCATCCTTCGAGTACAAACTGAAAAACATATTTTGCTGCCAGAAGGAGAGACTTCATAAGAGATGAGCGAAGAGAAAGTACAGATGCCTCAGGGTGTTTTTCTCTGATGATGACAACAGCTTTTCAAATCTGTCTCCTCTCCAATTTCTTGTAAATTTAGAACCAAATCCATAGGCGGCTCATTAAGACATCTGCATTGACACGTTAAGGCTTTGTTGGTGGTTCCTCAGTAATTAACATTTGTTAAATATCTTGATAATGTGTTTTTTTTTTCACATACTACAACTTTCTGTCATTCTGCAGGCTCTCTGGTATATTCCCACGATCCATCATTTTAAGTCACACAGTTTCCTTGCACTGCTGTTAAAGTGCCACTAAACAGCACTGAAACATTTTCTCAGGGGTTTTGATTCGGTCCACTGGTGCAGGGGCTGACTATCTGAGTTGAACTCATCTGGTCATTAGTGGTACAGTTGAGACCAATAAAGCGTGAAAAAGAGCTCCCAGCCCTTAAAAATTTCCTTTCAGCCTCTACCATCAATTGGCTCTGCTTGAGTTGTTCAGAAGTACACTGTGCAGCATATTGTGATGAAAGTTTGACTGCAACACAACATTGATCTCTGAGATTTGAATGAATCAGCATGTGCGCCTCGACCAACTGTCCAATTCACTTTGAAGGAGTGTTTAACACAGATTGGATTGGCCTACTCAGCACTGCAGTTAATAAACTGTCAACAGTAATTTACAGGCTTTGGATACTGGGACAGTTTTCACATACACATACTGAACACACACTAGAGCTGTAATCAACCAAAGAAATTCTTGGTCGACTACAACCCTGAAATTTTTGATCAAAAATCGACTAATGGAGGGGGTTCCGACTCTGATGGCAAACCCTTCTGCGGTGGGGGACGATGCGGCTCAGTGGGGGGAAAATATACTGATGTCAGCACAAGAAGGTACAACAGAGTATTATGGCCAAAGAAAAAAGAAAAATAAGACTTCGAGATTAATTAAAGTAATTGCTAACGAGAATAAAGTCATAATAAAATCATTACTTATGAGAATAAAGTCGTAAAGTAAATGAAATCGTAAAGCTGCTTTTTTGGAGTTGAAATGGCTGGAACTGGTCAACTGCAAAGTTTTCTGTGGGTGCATCAGTGGGCCATTCAGAGAGCTTTTGTGGTTTCTCAAGAAACTATCCAACTGATGATCAACATTTGTGATTCAGAGGGAGTCGAGCTTCGACGAGCACCGCGTCTGTCTCTGATGCTGGCCCAACACTGGCAAGAACCTGCACCTGCAGAGGCACCAACACCTTATGGCATATAGATTCATATGAGGAACTAAAGCCATATGCTATTGCTATAAATGGCTGCATTGAGGGATTTAGCCACTGCACAGCCATAACCATAGACTGTAAATTGACATGGAAAAAAAACAAGATGACCAATCAGAATTTTGGTCGACTCAGCACATATCGACAATAAGTAGATCAGCCGACTAGGACTTTACAGCCCTGGCACACACACACAAACCTGGGTTGAAGTGTGTTATCAGACACCCACAGTGTTACAGAGTGGTCTTCAGAAACTTACATCTTTGCCAACAAGGTCCTCCTGATTTTCAACAATGCCCCATGGAGCGATGCCAATGGTGCAGATCTTCCCCCTGGACTTGGAAGCATGGTCTTTCAGTGCATCGCCCACATGACGAATTACCCCTGTGTGTGAAAATGTAAGTTTGTGTTATTGGATATACATGCATGCAGAATGTTAGCAGGAGGGAGAGATAAAGAGATAACAAAAATCAGTTCTGTCATGATCAATACACAGCCTAAATGGAGATAATGATACACCCTGCAGTGAAAGATAAACAGAATCTGCTGGGCTCAGTGGACGAGTGTAGCAGCCTGTGTGAACAGCTTACAACTATACACACACAAACACACACACACACACACACACACACACACACACACACACACACACACACACACACACACACACACAGGTTTAAATACAGACAGGTCTTAGCTCCCAGTAGTTGTCCTCAGGGGAGCAGCCGTCCTGAGAGCCTTCTCATCCCATCTCTCCTGGTGACATTCATTCTTTCTCCACCTCTACCCTCAGTCACCGCTCCAGTCGATCCCTCCATCCATTATTCAGGCTTTTCTTTACCTCTTTCTTCCTCTGCACCCATTCTGTCACTAAATCTTATTTTCTAGTTCTGTTTGTATTCAAGCGTTGGGCATCTATTGTGTCCAGTGTTGCATCATTCAGTCCATTTACTGCAATATCTCATATTACACATCCTGGTTAGATATTTTATCACATTTCAAGCCTGCCTAGTGTGATGAAAATTATCCTGAAGACAAAGTGAACCAGAGTTCATGATTTCTTCTATCAAAATTATTGACAGAATTTGGCAAAAGGTAAAACTACAAAAGTAATAAGGGCTCCGCAATATTCGATAGAGAAAAATAAAATGATCAAACGATACACACACATATAATAATGTTTTTGTCTTGTAATATCAAATATATATCGCATGCATTATCATTTAATTCCTTACGCAAATAGGAGAAGCCCTGTATATTCTAATTATACAGCTACACTACACAATCCATAGCTTACAAAGATCAGAAACACAGTGGGACTAAAAGTTTCATCACAGAGACTACTCTCCATATGCATGACGACTCCATGTGTTAATACATTATTCATGTGAAACCAAGTCTTCAGATGATTTTTTTTATTTTCTCCCTTGTTCATTTCAGTCTTGTCACAAACAATGTTATCCAATTCTCTTGTGGTTAGCAACTCAAACCCTCGACTTTTGTTGAAGATCCAGTCCACTGAGCTCCTGAGCTATATCCTGATCCAGGTTACGTTTATTTAGCTACTCACTATTTCCCCCAAATTTCTCCTCAGATTCTCTCCATAACCTTGATCCTTCCTCTTCATCCCTAACCAGGAAATTCCTGCATTACTGTCAGTGGACTACCAAGTTCATAAAAAGAGACAGGCTCTAACTGCCGTCTCAGCCGATTCTGTCAATAACACCTTTTGGTCTAAGTTTGGGATTCCTGCTTTCTTTTTTCTGTTGACTTCTTGTAATGAAAATAAGCAACTAAGAACCAATATGCATTTAGGATGCTTTTAAATTCAGTTATAGACTCTGACTTTGAGTGTGTGTAAATACAGTTGGGGGTTTATAGTTGACTTAAGAGAATAAA